GACTACTTATGAATGTTTAGCCACTAAAAACCTTATGAATAAGCAGCAAAACATTGTCAGATACAGTGCTGTAAGATGAGGCCCTCAGGTTGGAAGGCACTCAAAATATGTTTGGGAAAGAGCTGCCTCCTCAAAGTAGAGTCATAATGACGTGAATGAAACAAAGCATTTGGCACCTTCATTTTCTGGTGGGCCACAACTCAAAATGAAGAGAAATAACTGTAAACATCCATTACTAATCAGAACATGGAATGTACTAAGTATGAATCAAAGAAAGTTGGAAGTTTCAAAAATGAAATGGAACACATAAAGATCAATATCCTAGACATTATTAGTGAGAGGAAATGGAATGGTATTGGCCATTTTAATTCAGACAATCATATGGATTACTATTCTGGAAATGACAGATTTAAGAGGAATGGTATTGTCTTGAAGTACAATGCTGTCTGTGATAGGATAATATCCAAACACTACAAGAAAGACCAGTTGATACCACTATTATTCAAATTTATGCACCAATCAATAAAGTTAGTGAAGGATGAAATTGAATAATTCTACCACCTTCTTCAGTCTGAAATTGATCAACCATGCAATCAAGATGCATTGCTAATTACTGGTGATTGGAATGTAAATATTGGAAACAAAAAGGAAGGATCGGTAGTTGGAAAATATGGCCATGGTGATATGATGCTATAAACCACATGATAGAATTTTGCAAGACCAACAACTAATTTGTTATGAATACTTTTTTTTTTTTTTTTTTTTAACAACATAAAAAGCAACTATACACTTAGACCTCTCCAGATGGACTTCACAAGAATGAAATTGACTACATCTGTGGAAAAAGATGTGGAAAACCTCAATATCATCAGCTAAAACAAGAATAGAGCAGAATGTAGAACAGACCATCAATTCAATTTCAGGAATTATAGGATGACATCAAGGACATCATACAGGAAGAAATCAAAAGGTCATTAAAAACACAATAAAGAAATAAAAGACCAAAATGGATGTCAGAAAAGACTCTGCAACTTGCTCTTGAGCATAGAGAAGCTAAAATACATGGAAGAAATGAGGAGGTAAAAGAGCTGAACTGAAAATATCACGGGGCAGCTGGAGAAGACAAAGTATTAAATGAAATGTTCAAAGACCTAGAGTTAGAAAAGCAAAAAAGAACACCCTCATCATTTCTCAAGTTGAAAGAACTGAAGAAAAAATTCAAGCCTCAGCTTGAAATATTTAAGTATTCTATGGGAGTCCTGGTGTGGCACTGTAGGGTAAGCAGTGGATTGCTAATCACAAGACTGGCAGTTCAAACCCATCAGCCACTCCTTGGAAACCCTATACAGAGTTTCTATACAGAGTTAGAACTGACTTGATGGCACTTAGCAATAACCACAACATGGACAAAATATTGAAGGATGCAGAATCATCAAAAGAAGATGGAAAGAATACACATAGTCACTGTAGCAAAAAGAAATGGTAGATGTTCAACCATTTTAAGAAGTAGCATATGACTGAGAACCAATAGTATTAAAGGGAAGAAGTCCAAGCTGCACAAGAGGCATTGGCAAAAGCCAAGAATCCAGGAATTGATTCAATGCAAATTGAAATCTTTTAACAAACACATGAAGCACTGGAGGCACTCATTTATGCTAAGTAATTTGGAGGACAACTACCTGGCCAACCGATTAGAAGACATCCATATTTGTGACCATTTCAAAGAGAGGTGACTTACTGGAATGTGGAAATCATCAAACAGTATCATTAATATCACGTGCAAGTAATATTTTGCTGAAAATTATTTTAAAATGCTTACAATAGTGTATCAGCAGAGAACTGCCAGAGATTCAAGCTGGCTTCAGAATGGGAATTGGAACTAGGGATATCATTGTTGATGTCAGATGGATCTTAGCTGAAAGCAGAAAACACCAGAAAGATGTTTACTTGCGCTTTATTGACTATACAAAGGTTTTCAACTATGTGGATCATGATAAATTACAGATAACATGGTGAAAAATGGGTATGCCAGACATTTGATTATTTTCATGAGAAGCCTGTACATAAACCAAGAGGCAGTTGTTAGAACAAGGCGATATTGAATGGTTTAAAATCAGGAAAGGTATATGCCAGGGTTGTATTCTTTCACCATATTTATTCAGTCTGTATGCTAAACAGATAATCAAAGAAGTTGGATTATATGAAGAAGAATGTGGGTTTAGGTTTGGAGGAAGACTCATAAGCAACCTGCAATATGCAGATGATACAACCTAGCTTGCTGAAATTGAAGAGGACCTAACATGCATTACTAATCAAGATCAAAGATTATAGCCTTCAGTATGGATTTCACCTCATTGTAAAGAAAGCAAAAATACTAACAACAAGACAAATAAATAACATCATGGTAAATGGTGAGAAGATTGAAGTTGTCAAAGACTTCATTGGTTTGTATCCACAATCAACACTCGTGGAAGCAGCAGTCAAGAAATTAAATGATGTATTACAGTAGGCAAATCTGCTTCACATGACCTCTTAAAAATGTTCAAGAGCAAAGATAACAGTTTGAGGACTAAAGTGCACCTGACCCAAACCATGGTATTTCCAGTTGCCTTATATTCATGTGAAAGTTGGACAATAAATAAGGAAAACTGGAGAAGAATTCATGCATTTGAATTCTGGTACTAGAGAAGAATATTAAAAGTTCTATGAACTGCTAGAAGAACAAACAAATCTCTGCTGAAAGAAGTACAACCACAATGCTCCTTAGAAGTCAGGATGTCAAGACTCCATCTCTCATGCTTCAAACAAGTTATCAGTAGGGACCAGTCCCTGAAGAAGGACATCATGCTTGGTAAAGTGGAGGGTTGCTGAAAAAGAGAAATACTCCCAATGTAATGGATTGACACAATGGAAGAAACCATGGGATCAAATATAACAAAAGTTGTGCAAATGGTGCAGAACTGGGCAACGCTTCGTTCTGTTGTGTATAGGGTCACTATCAATCAGAACCAAGTGGACAGCACCTAACAGTAACAACAACATTTGTGTCTCCTGTTTTTGTTGTAGAGGGACTGTGTAGTGTGCCTGTCTAATTCACCATCTTACCGGAAGTCTTCCGATTTTCCTGAAATTCCTCATCTCTTTTCCCATTACATCCATCTTTTTGTGTAGATCCCTTTACATAGCAACATAGCATCACAGTTATTTTAAACTTTCTCCCTGCTAATTTCAATTCTTGCATCATTTATGCATGTGTTTTCATGAAGTGATTTTTTTTTTTTTTTTAGTGTTGACCACATTTTTTCATTTCTTTGGTCTAGAATGTTATGTACCTGGTGTGGCGCTGCGGGTTAATGCGCTGGACTGCAAGGTCAGTTTGAACTGCAAGGGTGGAGGTTCAAACTCACCAGCCACTCTTTGGAAATCTTATTCAGGGCTGCTATCAGTTAGAAACAATTCAACAGCACTCAACAACAACTATAAATTTTGACTACAAAGAAGAGACTTTGAACTATTATTTTCCTTTGATGAATTTGGTTCTAGCAGGCAGTTAAATTACTGGCATTTTACCTTGGACTAAAGAAGTTTTTATTTTAAACTACATTGTTGTTGTTAAGTGGTTCTGACACATAATGACCTTGTATAGGGTTTCCAAGGAGCAGCTGGTGGGTTTGAACTGCCGATCTTGTGGTCTGAAGTCCAGTGCAGATCCTACAGTGCCATACATTAGGAGCTATTTTCATATTTCCTTTAGTCATAGGGTAAATCCGTTAGTCCTGGGACATAGTTTTTATTCTTAAGGCATGCCACTTTTGAGATTTCAATGCAAACCTGAGATTTTTAATTAGTCCCTCTAATTTAGTGAGATTTAGACTCTCAATTCTGTCCTCTGTGGTGTGTAACAGCTGAAATTTCCTCTCTGTCCTTTCAGCCTCTAGGAACAATGTTTTTTTGTTCCTGGGTTCCTTGGGGACTCCCCTATGCATATAGCATTTAGGGGTCAACTAAAATTTTGGGAGCTTCCCTCTCTGTGACTTTCTCTTCTTTGGACTATTCCCTTTAATTTCCATCTCTTCCAGCTGTCCCAGACCATCTTTTGAATCCTCTGGCCAATCTGACTGTAACTTATTGCCCCGCACATACAGACAGCCCTCCTGGGGAAAGTCATTGAAACACAGACCTTTTTCATTTTGGTTCTTTCTTTCAAAGATTGATTAACCAGTAACCTATAGTTTGTCTCTACTTTTGTTAACTGTTTATAACTTGCCCATTTTAAGCTACTTGGCTACCACCAGAACTGGGATTCCATTGAAGACATTTAAGCAGAGGAGTGACATGATTAGACTTATATTTTAAGATCATTCTAGCTGCTGTGGGGAGACCCATAGTAGAAGGGCAAGAATGTGGTAGGAAGACAAATTAAGATGATTCTTAGTGGCCAGCTAGGTGACAGCAGGGTACAATGATCAAGATCAGTAATGGTTCTGAGATCTATTTTTGTCAAATTTTGTGATGAGCTGGAAAGTGGATGAGAAAAAGAAAGGAACCAAGGATGATTCTCCGATTTCTGGTTTGAGCAACTGGGTGATGACACCATTTATTGACATAAGAGAGACTAGAGAAGGATGAAGTTTGGGGCAAACATCAATAATCAATTTGGGTATGTTGAGACACCACTCAGAGGTGTCTTGGAAGAGAGGCTTGGCAATGTAGTTCAGAAATACCGGTCACTATGGAACACAGTTCTACTCTGATCACAAAAGGATAATTGAATTTATAGGTAGAGAACTCAGGGGAAGAGCTAATAGGTCTGACTGCTAGGACTTAAATGATTGTCCCTATGTGTGGGGAGGGAATTGAATGTTAGAATTGAATGCTGACTTTCTGAACTCTAGGTCAGTCTGATGAATGGGAGAGATGAAAAACCAGCAGAGTGAGTCTACTTATCATTAGGATGTATTGGAGGGGTCAACTATGGCTGCTTTTCCTCCTGAATACAGGGTTACAGGGAAGAGAAGACCCAAGGTGAGTGCTGTGGAAGATGTCTGCCTATGGCGTGCACCATTCAACTAAGAGGAGGACAAGTCATGACTCTACAGGTGGGGACAGCTGAACTCAAGAGTTCTTCTCATATTGTCTGTCTGGCTTCTTATTTTGACTTTCCCCCCAAGAACCCAGGTTTAAGGCTAGCTTCTTTTTTCACCTTTTTCTGATCTTATAAAGAAAAGATGAATGAATGTCTTATAGAAAGCCTAGGGTTTCTCCTTTGATTTAACTACTTTGTTGTTCTTTTTAACAAGCGTGCAGTTGGCATATGGACTCATAATTTGGAGTTTAAGATTTTCTCCAGCCTTGAGAGTCTATGGATCTATAAGACTGGACAGGAAATCAGACTAAAACAAAATTTCATCTATGAAAGGCAAAATTAGCTAGGGTCAAGGGTGCTTAGAAGGGGGTACCCCTGGTTCATCTGCAGTTCAGTTGTCAGTTTACCAATTTACTCTCTCTGTGTCTCATTTCAAACACGCTGGTGACTCTATATTTATACAGCCCTTCTTATAATAAGGAGTCTCTGGATAGTACACATGGTTTATGCACTTGGCTGCTAACCGAGAGGGTAGCAGTTTGAAGCCACCCAGAGGTCTGTCGGAAGAAAAGCCTGGCAATCTGTTTCAGAAATATCAGCCACTATGGAACAGTTCTACCCTGACACACATAGGTCTCCATGAGTTAGGGGTCAACTCCACGGCTACTGGTTAGTTTTGGCTCATAGCAAGAGGTTATATAGAAAATGTGTTCTTGGCTTGGGTTCTATGGATACTGTCTCATTCTTGTTCCATAATCCCCTAGAGGGCCAGGAGTCAAGGCCATGGTTTGAAGCGGCTTTGTAACCCAAACATGGTTTTCAAATTTGCTCTCCCTACTTCGCCTCTTTCAGCGTGATGAGACATTCCAGGATGGCTGTGATAGTCACTTCTGCAAGGTCAATGAGAGAGGAGAGTACATCTGGGAGAAGAGGGTCACTGGCTGTCCACCCTTTGATGAGCACAAATGTCTGACTGAAGGAGTAAGTAGTCCAGCTCAGACTCTGCTTTCTTCTTGACAGTCTCTATCGCTGACTCTTTGAAAACAGAGTCCTGCTCTTCTCCTGAACATTAAGCGGCCTAGCTCTACTCTGATTTCCCAGTGTCCAAGAGGAGATCAGCAACTCAGTGTCAGAATTGATGGAAGTTCAAAATCAAAGTCTGATGACGACACAAGACTGTCTGTAGTGTATATAGGCTTTTCCCTTTGGGAGAGCCTGAATCTAAACCTGTAGTAGTACTCAGCATAATCAAAATTTCTTCCGTGGCTAGGTAGGGTTGTCAATCTGCTCACATTTGTGTTGGGAAAGCAGTTTGCTCTGACAGTTTAAAGTCTGGGCAGTGAGTCCAGAGCCAGGAATTGGCCCAGGATGATTTGAAAGCTGTTTACTCTGTACTATTTGTGCATAATCTGGAACTTTACTATTTTCTTAGGGGAAAATCACGAAAATTCCAGGCACTTGCTGTGACACATGTAAGTACATTACCAGTAGTCTGACTTGAAACCCATTACAGTAAATCTAGGAGCTGTTTTTTTTTTTTTTTTTTTTAGAATAAGCTTTATTCCAGAACATGACTTCTTGTTCACAGACTAGTCACTATGTTCAAGCCTGTGGAGATAGCGTCCCCTCCCTGAATGCTACCAGACTATGTTGTTGTTGTTAAGTACCATGGAGTCAGTTCCGACTCATACTGACCCTGCACAGGGTTTCTGAGGCTGTAAATCTTTATGGGAGAAGAATGCCTCAGTTGGCAGCAGCTTGACTCCTAATCACTATGCTACTGTTCAAATCACTGTTCAAATCCCCTTTCAAATGCCCATCAAGCTCCCCTCCCCAACAAATTCCTTACTCTCTATAGCCTCTTTATATGCTTTCCCCCTCATGGAACCTTCTGTTGCTCCTAGTTTTATCATGAGAGAGTGTCTTCTTTCTCTTACCTGAGTGAAGGTTCCTTAAGGACAGGTATACTTGAACCATGATCTTGACAAAGATGCTCAGTACACATCTGTTCACTGCTCTCTTGGAGAAAAGAAAAGCCATCATCTGGGTCCTGTCTAACCCCACTGTGTGCTATGGGGGTAGGAGTCCTCTCTCAAGGCCTCACAAAATTGATTCAATTTTATTAACATCCCCCTCTTCACTCTTGAAGTTGTAATTTTGTAATACTGACTGGTCTTAATAGCTCACAACAGCTGTGGAGATGGGGCTCAGTAGGTTTTCCCATCATATACTATTCCTACCCCACATTCTTGTGTTCATGAGCATAAGTAACATTTAGAATCTCGATGCTAATGCTGTATTTTCTGACTACGGAATTATTTTCCTAGCCTTTTTTTCTTTTATTTAAAAATATTTTTGGTGTTGGGTTTATGGGCTCATGCACATTTCTGTGAACGAAAGGGAAGCATGAAGGCATGAATACCTTTGGTTCCAGTCATTCAATCTTGATGACATACTCTGACCTTGTAATTTGCTGTATCCAAATCATAGATTGAGGAAATACATTCTGAAAGCAACTCTTTCTATTACACCCATCTAAATGGCTTAAGAATGTGAAGTCAGAAAATGATCAGAGACGATGAATTCTCTCTAGGAGCACTGCACATGAAATTAGGGGGCTGTGATCTGCAAAACCAGTAACAAAGAGCTTTTGTTGTCAATGTGTTCAGGAGGCTTTGAGATTTTTTGGAGTGAAAATAAGCCAGGCTCAGAGGTTTAGAACTATAGAAAAAGAATACAGTATGTCGGTCTAAATATGTTTTCCTTCATTCTCTTAATGCAATTGGCAGGGTTTCCATTTAAAATAAAATTATTTGGAAGCTGGGAGACCAGTTAATATATAATTAGGATTGATTTAGATTTGGAGGCAACCAAGAATGAAAAATTTCCATTGTTCAGATGGAATGGTAAGCTTGCATTAAATCTTAGAGTTGTCAGTGTGACAAGTAGAGATTCAGATCTGAATGCCACCAACCCTTGTATGTGAGGAAACCGATGCCAGCGATCTGGGACAGCAATACCCAAGGAAAAGGCTCAATGAGGTCTCCTAGGGGTCTTCTTGGCCCCCCTAGAGGCATTGAGTGTCCTTATGTAGTCATGGATTTTGTTTTGCTTCTTACTTGAAGGCAGAGTTAGCTATTAATCACATTTGTTGGCTACTTCATTGCCCATTAGCTTCTGGATGTAGCTTGAAGCATGATAAGATTGTCTAACCATTATGGTTTTTAGGGTCTACAATTATATAAAAGTGATTCTCATACATCTACATCCCTAAAACATAGACTCTTCATTCCTCCTTCAATTAAAATTGTACCATTAAATGATTTTAAACCAGCAATAACTACATCTCTGAATATGAAGGACCAGGAACAGCTGAGGTGAAGCAGGATAACGTAATCCCATGGCTGGCCTTCTTTATCTCCTTACTATGATATGGACCTATGTCTAGCTCAGTGAGTGAGGATGAGGTTGAAGAATGCTCTGCAGAGCCCCAACCAGCTCCCATGTCCCATCTCTCACCTGTCTTATAGGTGAGGAGCCCGAATGCAAAGATATAATTGCCAGGCTGCAGTATGTCAAAGTGGGAGATTGTAAGTCTGAAGAGGAAGTAGACATTCATTACTGCCAGGTAAGGGGTCCCTGACTTCATGAGACCTGAAGAGGGGTGGGCTGAGCCTCGTTGTATGGACACATTTCTTTGACTATGCTCTAATAGGGTCTAGAATGAGAAATGAAAGGAACTGGAAGCATTACTTTTCTTTTTTTTTTTAAATTTTTATTGTGACTTGAGTGATAGTTTATTTGGGAGAACATCAGCTTTACACTCATCCTATCATGTTTCATTTCATTGCAATGATTACAATCCCCTAGATGAATTACCATTCAACAGTATTTGCTTCTATTCCATCTGATTTTTGTTTTGTTTTGTTTTGTTTTTTACACCAAAACACTCAGGAATATATAATCATTCAAACAACTGAAGGGCATACTCTGCAAGCCTTGCTCCCTGGTTGCCAGCACTCAGCACCTCTCCCTCCTTGAGTCCGGAGTCCCCAGTCACTCCATCTCTCCACGTCATCATCTCTGCCTCCATCTCTGGCATCATTGCTTCTCTGAATAGGGTCCTCTGCTCCTGGACTGCAAGATCAATCCCTCCCCTCGTTATGTTACAAAACATCTACCTTTACATTTTCAAAAATCGCAATCAGTCCTGATAACAATTACTCACACTATTAAACCACAAGAGTCTTATCCCCATCTCCTTTCCCCAACCCCGTCTAGATAGGTTGGAAACCACTCAGTGAAGATCCTACCTAGCATTTCTTTTTTAGATAAATATTTTATTGAAGCAACTGGGGACTTTAGATCCCAGAAGAAGATTGGAGAAATGGCTTGACAAGTTCCATATAGAGAATGGGCTGGTATTTATGAAAAGTGGGGGCTGCTTCTCCTGAATAGCAATCAAACATGCAGCATAGAAATTATCGCTAGGGGGATTTGTGGGAGGTGCTTTCATGTTGGTAGTTTCTGCTGAGTTGATTCAGACTCATTGTGACCTATATATACAGCGTAGTGTGCTCCATAGTGTTTTCAAGGCAGTGACCTTTTGGAAGCAGATTGCCAGACCTATCTCTAGGTGGGTACAGCTAGTAGCTAGCTGGGCTTGCACCAACCCAAGGACTCTGGATATTATCATAAGGACAGATAAACATAAAACCAAATCAAACCCACTGATCTGATTTGATTCTGACAGCAACCCTATAAGACAGAGTAAAAACTGCTCCAGAAGGCTCCTGAGACAGTCCATTAAAAAAAAAAATTTTTTTAAATAAATGTTTTATTGTGTATTGTGCGATAGTTTACATGGGGGAACATTAGTTTTACATTCATTCTATCATACATCATTTTGTTGCCATAGTTACCATCCCATCCATGCATCATCACCCAACCAAAGGGTATACCCTGCAAGCCTGCCCCCGCCCCCCACGGTCCTCAGCACACAGCCCCTTTCCCTCTCTGGATCTCAAATCCCCAGCCACTCCATCTCTTCACGTCATCCTCTCTGCTGAGACTGTACATTTTTATGCAAGCAGACTGCCACATCTTTTTCCTCCAGAGCAGCTGGTAGATTTGAACCAGTGACCTTAACCCCTTACACCACCAGAGCTTCTTAGATAAACAGTGAGAGGAAATTTTGGAAGCTCCTGAGATCTTTGCCTGGGTTTCTCTGAAAGGGGGCAAGGGGTAGGAAGCTAGCTTCCCCAGAGCCCACTTCCCTTTGCTCTGTTGCAGGGAAAATGTGCCAGCAAAGCCGTGTACTCCATTGACGTTGAGGATGTGCAGGACCAATGCTCCTGCTGCTCACCAACTCGGATTGAGCCCATGCAGGTGCCCCTGCGCTGCGTCAATGGCTCTGTGGTATACCATGAGGTCCTCAACGCCTTGCAGTGCAAGTGCTCCCTCAGGAAGTGCAGCAAGCTCCCGCCGCCTTGAGGGAGCAGCCAGTGGCCAGTGCACTGCTCAGCCATCTGCACAGGTTGCTCCTGTGCCCTGTTGGACCCCCAATAAAAGCCAATCTCTCACCTCACAAAGGCTCACTGTGTCTTACACGCTGAGGTGGCAACTGTAGCCTGGGGATGGAGGTTGGGTGAAACTTCTGGGAAAAATGATGTCTTGCCTCTATTTTAGTTTCTTTGTTTTTAGCACTCCAACAGGTACATAGAGGAATAGTGTGGAGCAGGTTTCCTCAGGAAATTCACCCAGTGGCCTAAAATAAAAGGGACTTGTTCAGGAATACCAGGTTCTCAAATCTCCCAATCCAGGGACTTCTGAGCATAACAGAGTGGTGGGCTCAGGAACCGAGCTCCTAGCAGAATAGATATGCTGTCTATTGTCAGTGTGGCTGGCGTTATGGAGGTATTTGACAAGATGTACAAGGATTTCTCTGAGCCTTGACTGACAAAGTTCCTTTGTCCTCTTCATAGTTCCAGTGGGGTGTGTGGGGGGAGGTACTGAGGACTGAGAGGGACCTGGAAATGGGATGTTGGCAGAGGCAGAAATATAGTCCCCCATAGACTCAGTCATGGCCCAGTGAACCCTGGGCTTGGAGGCCAACTGGACTCCACACATGCCCTTGATTAACTGTGTGGCCTCAAACAAGCTCCCAAACGATTCTAAGACGCCATTTCCTCATCTGGAATATAGGGGTGTTAGTCTCACACATGTCTGTTTTTCTTTTGTTTCTTTGCTTTTTGTTTCACTGGTATTTATTGAGCATCTTAACGGGAACCAGACACTGTGGTCATCATTTACAGACATGATTTCACTTATTCTTCACTACAAACCCTGTGGCCACTCATAAAGTTTTGAGGACAATATAAAACCTGAAAGTCCTTGGGAAAGTGTAAGTTGCTCTATAAATACAAGAAACAATAAGGATAAAAGTGAGGAAATCAAGACTCGGCTAGGGGAATAAGTGACTCTGAAGTGGTGGGCAGAACATCAGGGCTTTCCTTCATCCTGAGGGAGGAAAGGCCCAGTTTATTATGGACTTTATGCTGGATATCAAGACCCTACCACCCCTAGACACCCTTTAGTAGAGTGGGAGAGAAGAGCCCTGAGAATGAAAGGACCAGTGTGAATGTACTACTAGAATTTGACAGAGATTTTCTCTTCCAAAACAAGACAGATTCAGCTCATTGACAGTACTGGATGATGGAGCTGGACAAGACTTAGGCATCATCTAATCCATTGTCCATCTACCCCTACCGCTTTAAAGATGATGAAAGCAGCTCAGAGGACTCAAGTGACTTGACAGGGTCACACAGCTGCTGTGTGGCACAGTCAGGTTCAGAACCCAGGTGACTTAACTCCTGGGCCAGAAATCCTAGGCCACAACACCAGAGGCTTATGGTCCCTGTTGCTTATAGATTGATTCTTTCTGCCAGCATGGCTCCCAGTGACTGCTGTATTTCTAGGTCTCACCCATTTCTGTTACTATCTGGGACTGACCTTAAGAGAAGATACATTACAGGGAAATGGCATGGATTATACTGAGTAGATCTGGTGCAGAGTTTAGTGGGGTAGAGGGAAGAAATAAGTTGGAAAGATGGATAGAAGTTTTATATAACTGCTCAATAATTCAAAGGTTGTCATCTCCCCATCCATCACCCTGCCCCCAACTTTGAGCAGGCAGAAACCAGATCCAGGGAATTAACTGTAGCTCTTCTGACTGATCGCCTAACACTCTACCTGGGGACAAGGTGTTATTGGAGGCAAGGCCACAGAGCACCTCAGCAGGGAGGTTCCCTCCTCAGCTAAGTTGTCAATTTTCTAATGACCTGTGCTTGATAGCCTGACTTTCTCCTCACACTTACTGATTTTGCAGTCAAGAAAAAAGCAGAATCAACAAAATTGAATGTTTTAATTAAAATGAAATTGGGAGGAAGCAAAAAACAACAACAAAAAAATGGCAAAAAGAGAAACCAGTGGGGAGACTGGTCTCAGCAGCCTTCCTTTTCTTTAGAGCTGCTCTAAGGTCAGGGTCTGGCTCTGGGCTCAGGTATTTTCTTTTTTGCCCTCTCTCAGACCAGGACTCCTGATGTGGTTCTGTAATATCAGCACTGGACCGCAAACCACAAGGTCAAGCAGTTCAAACCCACCAGATGCTCCTTAGAAACCCTATACAGTTTCTATGAGTTGGAACTGACTCAACAGTACTTAACAGCAACAGCAGATGAGATGAGACAGAGTCCCCAAAGTAAGCATTTTAGGGAGAGTCTGAGAAAATATTGAAGGGAGAGGTAAAAATGGAATGATAAAGCCGTTACGGTAGACATTTTGAAAAGACACGGAAGACAGGTGCAGTTTGAGGGGGAAAAAGGAGAGGCCTATGGCAAAGGGTTTTGAGCACAGACTCTGGAGCCGACTACTTGCTTTGGGATCTTAACTCTGTCTCTTAGAAGCAGATGACTTGATTTTTTACGTTGCAGTCTTCTCATCTGTAAAATGGGCACACTAGCAGTTATTGCCTCAGAGAATGCTGATTAGTATTAAAGTAATTACCATGCACAGTACTGTGAAGCATACCTGATGAAAAGCAAATCCTGTCCAAGTATTAGTCATTGTTACTCTTAGTAACTAGGATAAAGCCTTGGATTGGGACATTCTGAATCATACTTCTGGTTTTCCTTCTGCTCTGCCCTTGGCTCATTCTGTGATGTCATACACTACTCCCCCTTACTGCTTCACGTTCTTTATAAAGTAGGGAGAAATCAGACTACCTTTTCGTTTAGGAGATCAAATTCTTCCAACTTAAAGGTCAATGATCCTAATAGTATGAGCTTGATCGTATCACTTTTTCATTTCCTGTATCCTGGGTACTAATAAATTTCTTTAACTTGGAATTGTAGATCTCAGCGTTCAGAGCTGGCCTTTGGAGGGCTTCTCTGCTGCTATCTGCCTCTGGCCAGGTACCTTCTTCAGAAATAGGACTTGCTGTAACTACTTCCTCAAATCTCCTTAAGCCCGCTTCATCTGATGGTGGTGATTCTGTGCCGTGGAGTCGGTTCCCACTCATAGCGACCCTGTACAGGGTTTCCGAGGCTGCAAATCTTTATGGGAGCAGAAAGCCTCATCTTTCTCCCGCGGAACAGCTGGTGGTTTCGAACTACTGACCTTGCAGCTCGCAGCCAGATTCGTAACCACTAAGCTACCAGAGCTCTTAAATAACCTTCTCCTTCTCCTGCCTTTTGCAGCCCGCTTTCTGTCCTATAGGTTCATAGTACACCTACTCTGAACTCAGGCTTCTTCCAGTTTTATCCAGAGAAAGGCCAGGGTAGCTGGTGGGGGTGGTGAAGGCAGATATAGGAGGAAGGCTAGCCCTTGGACAGTGGACGGGCCCTTTAGGGATGAGAAGAAGGCTTTGCTGGTGGGATTGTGCACTAAGAAACCAGAGTGCCCACAAAATAATCCGATTGAAATTTTCACGCCCAGACCAGACGGTGAGGCGCCTCCCGGGTGGTCGAGGAGAGCAGGTTGCACTTTCTGTCTGGCTCCACAGCTCCATTAACCCCGAGCGTGTCCTGGATTTGACCCGACCACGGGAATGCACCCCTTTCTGACGCTCAGCTGCCAGTGCCCCCCGGGCGCAGGCGGGAAGGCTGGGGGCCAGAGTATTGGGCAGCGACGGGGGGGTGGGGGAGGAGGCAGAGGCAGGCGAGGGGCGGGAGCTGAGCCGCTATGGAATTAGCCCCGCGGCGGCAGAATAAGCCTGTCCAGGAACAAGCGCGGCCGCGGGCGAGTCTGGGTTTCGCAGCGTCCAGTTTACCCACGCCATGGCCACCCCGGCGCTGCGCGGTAAGTCTCCCCTGCAGGGACCCTGGGCATCCGGCAGGTAGTAGGTGGGAGTGGGGCTGGGGGTGGAAGAGATGGCATCCGAACTCCCGCCTTTTCAGAACTGGTGACTCCAAGTGAATTGGAGAGGTTGGTGAGGTAGGCTGACCCTGTCTCACTGGCCCCTTTAATCCCAAAGTAGGGAAGCTAAGAGACTCTTTAGCAATTTACGGCAAGTGGGAAGATAGGTCAAGGAGGCAGAGGATAGGTGTAATTGCATTTTGGTGGAGGGTTACCAATTCCTGCCGGTGTGATTTTGTCTCCCCTGGCTACAAGTCCTTTAATGTTTAGCTTAGAGTCCATCTGAAGTAAGCAAACAACTAGCCTGATTTAATCCAGAGTCTACTGAGAGGCTCATTTTCAGCCCCAGCAAATTTTTGTTTGCCGTATCTGAACTGTCCTTACAGTTTCAAGAAAGTCTCAAGTCTCCTGCAGCCTTTCCCAAACCCACCCAGAGCAAGGGCTCCAGGCCAGCCATTTACATCTCAGGTTCAAGGACTCTTAGATGTGCTGCCTCCGCTGTCCACCCCACCCCACCCCACCCCACCCTGAGTTTTTCTTAAAAGAGAAGTAAATTGAGTTTTAATTGGGGAGAAGGATATTGTTTTGAGGCACCTCCCAAATTATACTGGGAGACAGATGTTTTTGGGTAGGTTTGACTTACACCTGGGAGAGGGATCTTGTTTCTGGTGGCTCTTGAGAGTGGTATGAAATGGGGAGGTCCCCACTCCCTTGGCATGAAAAGGTGCCCCACTGTCACAGTGGTTAAGGATTCTGGTGAACAGTTCAACCCATCAGCCACTCCTTTGGGAGAAAGATACAGGACTCTGTTTCTGTAAAGATTGGGAGTGGTGGTGGTGGTGGTGTGCCATTGAGTCGGTTCTGACTCAAGAGTGACCCTGAGTAGGGTTTTGGAGGTTGTAAATGTTTATGGGAGCACAAAGCCTCAGCTTTCTATCGTGGAACGACTGGTAGATTTGAACTGCTCAACTTGTGGTTAACAGCCCAGTGTTATTATACTACCAGGGCAACCTTGGAAACACTATGGGGCAGTTCTTCTCTGTGCTATAGGCTCTCCCTCTCCAGGAGTTATAATACAC